TGCTGTATTCTCTATCGTATTCTGTATTCTTTATATTCTATTCTGTTTTCTCTACATCCTAATGCTGTATTCTCTATCATATTCTGTATTCTTTATATTTTATTCTGTTTTCTATACATCATAATGCTGTATTCTCTATCATATTCTATATTCTATATATTCTATTCTGTTTTCTCTACATCCTATTGCTGTATTCTCTATCATATTCTGTATTCTTTATATTCTATTCTGTTTGCTCTACATCCTAATGCTGTATTCTCTATCATATTCTGTATTCTTTATATTCTATTCTGTTTTCACTACATCCTAATGCTGTATTCTCTATCCTATTCTATACTCCCTACATTCTATTCTGTTTTCTATACATCATAATGCTGTATTCTCTATATTCTATTCTGTTTTCACTACATCATAATGCAGTATTCTCTATCCTATTCTGTATTCTTTATATTCTATTCTGTTTTCTCTACATCATAATGCTGTATTCTCTATCGTATTCTGTATTCTTTATATTCTATTCTGTTTTCTATACATCCTAATGCTGTATTCTCTATCCTATTCTGTATTCTTTATATCCTATTCTGTTTTCTCTACATCCTAATGCTGTATTCTCTATCGTATTCTGTATTCTTTATATTCTATTCTGTTTTCTCTACATCCTATTGCTGTATTCTCTATCCTATTCTGTATTCTCTATATTTTATTCTGTTTTCTATACATCATAATGCTGTATTCTCTATCGTATTCTGTATTCTTTATATTTTATTCTGTTTTCTATACATCATAATGCAGTATTCACTATCGTATTCTGTATTCTTTATATTCTATTCTGTTTTCTCAACATCCTAATGCTGTATTCTCTATCCTATTCTATACGCCCTATCCTATTCTATACTCCCTATCCTATTCTATACTCCCTATCCTATTCTATACTCCCTATCCTATTCTATACTCCCTATCCTATTATTCTATACTCCCTATCCTATTCTATACTCCCTATCCTATTCTATACTCCCTATCCTATTCTATACTCCCTATCCTATTCTATACTCCCTATCCTATTCTATACTCCCTATCCTATTCTATACTCCCTATCCTATTTCTCTCTCCTACTCAACCTTCTTCCCACTAACCTGTTATCTTCCATCTCAAGTATAGAAGTTTCCGCCTCCCCTACCCTACATAAGTCCCCCCCCCTCTCTTCAACTATATGAATTAAGATTTATCCCCTAGTATTTCTAGTTTAATGCTGGCTTAATATAAATAAATATAAGAATCTATGGGAATATATGATGTTGGTTAAGTTTAGGGCTCAAAGTCCAATTTACCGCTATGTTACGAAGGACACACATAAATCCAGGGGTGTATATTTTCTTCATTAATCATTCCCCGCTTCTTTGATAATATTTTTTTTCCCACAAGTTATATTTGTTTTTCAGGGGTTTTTTCGCTGACAGTGAATTGGGGGAAAAGTATCAAAAAGAAAAATGTCCAATTTGTCATTTATTTTCTGAAAAATATACACCCCTGCACAATTCTGTTGAAAAGCTTATGATAATTTAAATCGCAATGATTGTTATAACTAAAAGTTAATTTGGGTTTTATGGAACATTTATTTACTGAAAAGCCGAATTTTTATCATCCAAATTTTTATTATAATATTTTTTATTCCAGGCCCATATTGTGTGCCCCCCCCCCTCTAGATTTTAAGAAATTAAGATAAAAGTACCATCTGTACTTGTTAATTACATTGACGTAGGTATAGACGTCATGATTATTAAAGATACTGGAATGAAAACAAATAAAATATCTACAAATGTCATGGAAAAATGTCGTTCTGTCAAAAATATTCATATTTTTCTATAATTGTTTTGATATGATTTTGAGGCATTAGCCTGCTATGTGATGTACCGACCAATGCTAGGCCGTGGAGACGCTATTTGACAAAAGTGAAATAAATCCTTGGCTGCAATTGGTCAATATTCTCCGCTTAGAGCGAGTCAAACGTTTTGCATATTTAGTCTTCAAACCCTCATATGCAAATTTGCTTTGTGAATTAAGCCTCCAAAAAATATTATTTTTTTAAATTTTTTTCCGGACATGTTCTTCTCTATTAAAAATTCAAATATTAATAATCACTTTTTAATATAATTACTTATGTGTTAATGATTGAATAAATATGATTTGATTTCTATAAGTGAGTTTATATGGTTAGTACACTGTGTACTAGCTAAATGAAATCCTGGTTTTCAAGCCGGTACATCTCATAGGGAGCAATGAACTTTAAGGGGGAGAGCATACTGCATATTCTCCTATATCGGGATTTTAACATTTAAAATTTTTTTTTTTTTAATTACAGTTAAAATGGTAAGTTTAGAAAACTATTTTTAAAAAGATAATTGGCTAATGGCGCCCCCCCCCCCCCTCCTTTTCCCCCTCTATTAATCTCCCCCTCTTATCCGTATAGGCAGCGGGGATTGGGGGGGGGGGGGTCTACACTCACTGACACGCAACAGGGAAGCATTTCTCAAATTTTTTCCCGCGCCTCTTAAAAAATAATTGCTCTTCGCTTCAAGTTCAAAAGTTGATTTTAAAAATTAAAATACTAAGTTCTGAATATTATTTTATTTTATTTTATTCCGATATGTGTCCTTACCCTTTATGTGTTAGTTTATTGTGAGCTAATAGACATTTGCATTTCCTTTCGTGTGTATTTTAGGAAAACAGTCGATTTGCATTGTTCTATCAACATTTAGAAAGGAAACAATCCCTGCTAACTGACGTGTATTATTTCAATTGCCTTTTAAATACAAGGTTTGTTGATGGCGTGTGCAAAAAATGTGCAAATTTGGAGGAAATCACATTTTTTCTTTTTATTTGATGTCTGTGTTCTCTCTTGTTTGATATGTTAGTATTTTAACACATCTCGTCCTTGGTTTTACTCCGTATTGTCTTCAGCAAATTTTCATCATTTAATTCAATTGAAAATCGGAATATCAACCAGATCAATAAAGAAAATACAGACATAAAAACTTAGTTTTAAAAACTTATAAAAGATATTCAGTCACATTTTAACAATTTATTAAAAAATTGTATAGTAATTATTTTGAAAAATGATGATATGTTTGGGCGGGAAGGAAGAAATATAGACATTCAACGTTTCCAGTGTACTGACCGCTAAACTGCCGCTAACAGTCCGGTCACGGGTCCAAACAAAAACAACAGTAAAATATTCTAGTAGAGTTGACAAACTACTTTAATCTTTTTTTATAGATTTAATAATAGCCTAAATACCATGCACTAGAAAATGATGTCACAAAACGTAGGAAAAAAGTTAGGAAATTACTCTGATAATGTAGTGTTTATTTTGATCCTATTACGGGTACATATGTCATAGAACTATCACCCCCTCCCACCCGGTTTCAGATAAGTTATTTTTTTGGAGGGGAGGGAGGGGGGGCTTTAAAAAAGATTTTCTATTTTTTAATGATTAAAGCTACAAAAATCAATATATGTTGCCAAATTAGTAAAAATACACGGGTTCATCTCAGTTAACTCTTTGACCTTCATTCTTAAATGATTTAACAGTCATTTTCTTATGTGGGGGGGACATACTCTAATGTTGCCCCATTAGGGCTCAAATTCCACATTGACTTAACTATTTCATTGAAAATTTTGAAAATTTTAATTATTCTGATTTTTATTCCTTAAATGTTATAGATTTCTTTAAACAATTTGAAGGGTGTAAGTTGATTCTGCTATTGGACTGTTGGAGGATCATTAGTGAGAGAAATATTTTTAAATGTAAAGAAAACTTCTTCGATAGAACTTTATTTCGTCATAGTAACAATAAAAATGTTGACATTAGATATAACAACTTTAAAAACAATTTTGCTGTAACGTGGAGTAAACAATACCCTTTTAAAACCTGATTAATTGCCGATAATTATTTTCGCAAATTTAGTCCCGGGGCCTTGAATTTTGCAAGTCACGTATTTGATCAACTGCTGGAGATAGCACTAACTTTAAAAACAAAGAAGTGACGAAAAATTATGATAAAATAACTTGCAAATTTGGCACATATATCTATGTATCTATGTATATGGTGAAACTTTTCATATTGAACTTTATCCATTTATTATAGCTGTTGTACAACTTGACTATCAACTATCAGAACTATTGTAGATGTTGTACAACTTGACTATCAACTATCTGAACTATTGTAGCTGTTGAAATATATGTTTGTAACAAAATTAGATCGATTTTAACCAACATTTTAAACTCTTCAAATATGATTACATCTCTTTGTTGATCCATTTCCAGCTATTTCTTTATGTAGAGCTAACTAGCTATTTATCCATCTATTCAATTATCTATTAATGTAGCTATTTATTCATCTTTAACTTGCAATTTATCCCTCTATTAATGTAAATTCAGCAATTTTGATATTTATTTATCTATTAATTTTGTTATTAATCTTCTTTCTATTTTTCAAACAAGTTAACTATTTATCCTCTCTGTTTATTTAGCTATTTATCCATCTATTTATTTATCCATTAATGTGGCTATTTATCCATCTTTATATTTATTTATTTATCACAAACAGATTATCAAATACAATAGGTGGCAACAGAGAAATGGACCAATTATACACGACGTCACAAGTGTCAAATATAACAAGGAAAACGAAATTTTCTCACATTAGTTGACATTTTTTTTAAAGATTATATAATAAAGGGTAAAAATATGAAATAAAGACCCATAAAATTGCTCTTATTATTAATTTTGTCGGACACAAAAACTAAGTTGACACTTGCGACGTAATATAGCTGTACTGAGAGTGTATAAGTTCTACGTTGCCATCTATTGTACTAGAATCTATTTGATTTATTAAGAAATTTTTTCATCTTTTAAATTAGCTTTATAAATGTTTCTGTTTATCTCTATATTTGTCGACATGTACGTACCTATTTATTTTTTAATTTAATCTATTACTCTAGGCAAATGGTCGCAAGAACGGTGCTGGAGACATTGAGGCAGGTTACCGATGTGGTGGAGGACACCCAGTCCGTCTTCATGATCCTGGCTAGACTAGGACAAGATGTTGGTGAGTCATTAAACACTTTCAAGTCAGAACTTTTGTATGGTTAATCTCGGGATCTTATGCAGACAATAGTTCAATTCCTCTTTGATATCCCCGTAGTGGTCAACCCCAGTAGGGATTACTTGAATTCCTTAAATTTATAACTGGACCCACACTGGATATAGAGATCAAGCACGAGCAAAGATATTTCACGCTTAAGTTCCGACTTTTAGAATTAAACCTCTTGTGCTTTTAATTACATTGCCCCTCTTTAAGTTAAGTTTACTACAGGGTGTCCCATTAAACATGGGAATTCAGTGACGTATTCGATACCGTCTTTTTAAATAATTCTTTGATTTAGTATAGTGAGACCTACTGAGAAAGCTGTAATCAGTAATAGTTTCGTCTGCTATGTTCACATTTTGTTTGTTTATGTTTTGACTTCATACGGTTGTACTTAGTAAAACAAGAAAATTGCAGTATACAATAGAGTAAACTTGTCCGTTATTACTGTTCATCTTGCGGAGGCATTATAAAAACATCTTTACAGTCTTTTACCCTTTTCATAAAATAAACTCTAGCATTAACAAGGACGATATCGAATTCGTCACTGAATTCCCATGTTTTTTTTTGGGACACCCTGTAATACAGAGGTAAATATTTTCTTGGATGAATTTTCTCTTTCATGACTCCAGCCTAATAATTATTTAGCCCGAAGTATGTAGAAAGATTGAAGTGAAGCATTTTTTAAAAACATAAAACTAACATTAGTACAGTTCATTTTACTTTTGCTAAAGTACATTACTTTGTGACTATTGTTAAGTACACTTTAATTTGATGAAATATTACCATTGTTTTTACTTTTTACTTTTTTGTACTAATTTATAATTCTGTTGTACTTTTAATCATGTTTACCTTTAAAGTTTATTTGATTTCTCCTAGTTCTGTAAATTCTGTAGAAAACACTTCTTTTTAGCAATCTTTGTAAAAGCTTTGTGAATATACAGTATATAATATATACAGTACACAATATATACATGTATATATACAGTTAGCGGCTAGTTTAATCATCACACATTACACGCTACAGCTTTTAGATCTTGTATACATACACTTAACTACTTAAACAACACTCATACAGGGGCTTAGTCTTTTCATTTAGAAACAGTTTGTCTTATCTTAGATATTTTAATGTCATTAAAATATATTCATCTGTCTTAAATTTAAAGAATAAACAAATTTGAATTTGCTTTTTTAGTTGAGATCAATTATCATCTAGAAAAAGTTAGTCTTTTGTTAGATTTTTTATGAAATCAAATATTTTATTATTTATAGATGGAAAAATTCTGTATTTGCTAGTTTGGTTGAGATTGATATTTGCGATGGCGTAGTAACATTTCTAATACGCAGTTAGAGCTTAATTTACTCAACATGTTGGCGCGTACAATGTTTTATTTTTATTTTTTGATTCTTTTATCAGAACTTATTTTTCCAGTTTTGTTTTAAAAAAATTCAATTTATTAATATTTTACTTATATTTTTGTCGGCATGAAAAAATTTTGCTGAAATTTCCAAATAGAAACTATTTTGGTTTGATTTTAGCAGACGAGAGCGTACTGTATAATGCATAATTCTATCATTTCATGACTATACTTTTTAATAAATCAGAATCAATTATATTTTTTACACTG